TCAGTTTCTTAATCTGGTTTGTCACTTAGTCATACAAACATTTGCTGGCACAATGGGAGGTGCTGTAAGGATGGGAACTAGTGGCAAGAACAGGAAATGACACTACCATTGAACTGTTGGCTAAATATTTATCTTTGACATGAAATACCTTTTAATCTTGTAGTCATTCATGAAAGTGTTGAGGAAAAAGCCGATCCAGTTACTTAAGCTACTCCGGAATTTTAGAAAAATAGTACTTACTTACTTTCAATGACAAATTAAAAACTTGAACATTAGAAGCAGGATATGAAGATTCTAATTTAAAATTACTTCCAAAGCTTCCAAAAATGCTGCTTTTAAGAACATTCTTTTCTACATTTCCCTGCTTTGCCTCATCCTGTCTTTAAAAGGGAGGGGGGAAAAAGGGGGTTTGGGGATACTTTGTGGACATTTCAAGGTTTCAAATTAACTTGTTCAAAACTGATTACTTTGATATTGTTGGCAAGATAAGATGATTTTACTATATAGATCTTTTTTATTGTGTAAAACAGCAAAGGTGACTCCAAAATGCAATGTTGTGCCAATGCATTTAATGGTATAGTGAAACCACGAGTTCTCAAAGAGGGCAAGTTCTCTATTTAAAATTCTCTCCTGGGAATTGAAAAGGCCAAGAATGATGATTAGATAGGAGTGTGTTTCTGTTCCGATGTCTTGTGATTTGTTCTCCTCTCCTGCTTACCTCCATTCCAATCTTGTTGTATTCAGTTACGGTTTCTGTTCCTGTTGAGTCCTGCTTTCCAAACGTTTAACTATTAGTTGTTTTTGCCAACTTCAGACCGCCTGTTGGCTCACAAAGGAGTTAAAATTGACTGATGAATAATAGTACGCTGTATGTTTCTGTGATCGTTGTACATGTTTTTCTTCCCCTCTCATGTTCTTATTAAAAGCCTGGCTCAATAATTGCCATAGCTCCTGTATTGAAAAAAATAGCTTTTTGGTCTCTTCTTACAAAAGAAGAAAATGAATGGAGTGATTTTGAACGACATTTACATTTTTAAGCTTGCATAAAGATGGAAAGAATCGCAGGTGTCCAATCTTCAGAGTAAGTTGAAAACATGCACGGACAATGGTATCTGGATATAATTCAAAACTTACTGCTGGTAATTTTAGGGTATGCTCTTATCTGTATTTTCCTTTTTTGTTTAATCAAAATGGAGAAATGAACGAATGAGAGCATGCAAATCTTATGACATTACAGAAACACACTTTGATTGTACATGGGCTATTGAAAAGGACAAGAGCCCTAAAAGGCATCTGAGATAATAGGTTAAGGACTGCAGTACTTAAGGGTATTGTCATACTGGCACAAAACACATTCATAATGCCACCTTCAAAGCATGTCCAACCTGAGACCAGCATCTTGGGATTAGTGTGAAATTAAAAAATAATAATAAAAAAATTATGTTGATCATAATTTCTATTAAAAGCTAGAGGAAGTAAAACACACACAACAAACCATAAAAAAACCCACTCACCTCATGTTCAATCTGACAAGTCTGTGAATTTGCAACTAAAATCATCACTGGGAATCGCTGTAGGAGTATGTCAAAAAGTAATTAATTGTTATTTATCTCAGGCGAGATTGCATAATTGTGTGTACATCAGTAATTATTTGATTCCTGCCTATTTACTAAATGGGTTTGGGTGTTCATGTATTTTTTTTTATTTTTTGAGGGAGGACCTTTATTGAGCAAAATAAAGGTAATTTCATCCAAAAATGGTATTAGTGGTGTAACGAGGAAAAATAGTAATTTGAGACTCATTAGAATAAAGTTAGAAATTCAGTTTAATCCCAGAAGCCTGGCAACACACTAACTGAATCATTGAGTTGCTGGCATCATATTCATTGAACTTTTAAAGTCACCTACCAGCACTGACCAACCGCAAGGAAGCGAAAGCAGTAAGCAGTATAGGGTTTGGGTAGCAGATATATTTATGGGCATGTTCTAAAAGTAATAATCTCATAGGTAGGCATGTTTTGCAAAAATATTTTGAATTAGATAAGTTGATAGTGATGTGTAAAAGCTGATTTGTAAAAGCAAATTTTGAGTTTGTACCCTTGGGAGAGAGGGAAATACTATGTATACTTCAGCTGCTCCCTACTAGTATGACTGCTCTATTTCTAATCTGTTTTCAGTTTAGTTTGTATCTTCGGATCCTGTTAGAAAATTATTAGATTACTTCCACCATATTTAGGTTCTATGGTTGCTATATTACTGTCTTCAGTAGTAAACTGCAAAAGCTTTGTACTCAGCAAGTTTCAGGTTGCTTCTACCAGTCAGAAGCTGTTAATGCATAAAGCCCCATAGCTCATGCTATATATGCTGTTTGCTATGGAGTTGATGCATGTTACAGTTTTTCCCTCCGCTGCTGTAGTCTAGCCTCAGACAAGTTTTAAACATATATTTTAAATATTGTTTATTATTCCGTATATATTAAATGCATGTAAGTGCTTCTGTTTACATTAGTGTTCAATAGCTTCTGTTGAGAAACCATTTTTCTCCTGCTGCTTCTTTTTTGGAGCAATGTGTTTATTTTTCTTAGATGCATCTTTGCATCTGACAGAGTTATTAAGTAGCAAGTAAATGAAGGAACTGTAAAAATAAAGGAATTGCTTCACATTTTCCTTCTGTTCAGTTTTGTCCAAACAGGCAATTCCTTTTGGCAATGGGTCTGCTTTGCAGAATGCTGTATAATAAATGTCACAAGAACACTGGTAAGAAACTTCAGATCTGAGTCACGAGGAGGATTGTTTATTTGCTGCTTTGAATAGTCTGTTGCATGGATCCTTTTCGAAGAATGAAATGCAAATAGACCGATATCACCTGATATTAACCACAGACTAATTCAACTAGCAAAATAAACAAATTGGGGTAGAGTAGTTGAGCTTTAGATATTTTCTTGAATGCTCAGAGATGAGAGATTTATTCCTCTGCCTGTTGAAAGACTGTCAGTAATCGGTGGCGTTCTGATCACAGACTCTGGATGGCTGTTCTCTAACACACTGTAATGGTCTGACTGCTGAGACTTCATTTTTTTGCTCTCAGTCTTGATATTTCAGTGACTGTATGTTGGGATTCTGAGTATCTGCAGGAGGGAAAAAAAGGATTTTGGTACTGATGCTTTGATAACCATTAAAAATAAACAAACAACAAAATCTAAGACCAGTCTATGCTGTCTTTTACATATTACTTTCCATGTTAAGGTGTCTGTGAATCGTGAAAAGATCCCTGCATGTTAGAAATGTTTGCAGTTTGTCCCCTCTGTGATATTTTTGGAGGCTGGTTGAACACCTGATGACTTGTGCAGGACTCAAATATAATCAGTACAGCCTGGCATTTGTTTGCTTTTTTTTTTAAAAAAAAAAAGGATTTTTTTTTCTCCTGCTGTTCAGATCATTTATGTAGTCTTTTTGTTTTATTCTCATCATCCACTTTGGGATAAAATAATAATTTAATTCTGCTGCATCCAGATTTCCGTACATCAGTTTTGTTTCTCTAGTGGCCCACAGAGAATACAGTTTATGATAAGAAACTGTTCAGTTGTTCCCCTCCTCAAAAGAAGTTAATGCTCTTATTTTCTCCCCTCTATCAGATCTTTACACACTTGTATTTATAATTTGAAGATTAGGTGTAAACTTCATTCAGTTTCACAGAAATACCCTTACATGTGAGTACCATTCCAGTTGTTTTGAGACTTTATTAGGAACATAAGAATGTATCTTGGGCTAGACCTGAGGCTTCAGTAGTTAAGTATTTTGTTTATGTATTCGGGAGAGAGATCTGCAAACAGCTCTGTCTTGTGTCTGTAGTACTTAGAAATGCAATCATGGTCAAGATGAAATCTTGTTAGGTTTTATATATACCTGGTAACTGGATGAAAATTGACTGTTTTAAATTGTTCAGTCTTTAGCTACACTGTTAAAACTACTAAAACCAAGTACATGATAAGGACATGAAAAATACTGTTACTATCGTCATATTCCTTACAGCATATTTTTGTGTGCTTTGAGTTTGAGTCTTAAGTCATTTTTTTTTTACCTTACAAGAACCTTCTAACATCTGTTTATGGAACATGAGATGTTTCTCACTGACCTTTGTCCTTGTTATATTATTTTGATAATGTTTGTCCCTTTACTACTGAAAACAATTGCAATTTCTTAACCTTTGTTTAAAAGTGTTCTCGTACTTAAATCATCTCAGTCACTCTTCTCTGAATCTTGCTTAGATCTGTAGCTATCCTTTGGGACAGGGTAAGAAGTACTTCAGAAAAGGCAGATGCACAAAAAAATACATCTGTTTTTAAATGATCTTCCTGTGGTTTTCTATTGGCTTAGGGAGTAGCACTGATCTATTTTTCAAAAAAAAAAAAAAAAAGATTTTGATAAAATTTTGTTTTCTGAAAAGACAAGAATTAGAATGCTGTATCATGAAAAGAAGGTTTTAAATTACATTTTTCATACTGAATTTAACTACACTTTGTGGGTTTTTATTGAAATTTGCCTTCATCTTTTTAAAAAATTATTTAGCTTATTCACATTTATGTAACTTCTCTTTGATTTTTGACCAATGTAAAGGATTTTATCATGTACTTATTTGGCTATAGTCTTACTCTCCATTCCCACTTGTCAGCTATTTTTCTGCCATCTGAACTACAACTTATATTATTGTTTTAGTAGAATTTGCATCTGGCATGTACGATATGGGTAACACTGCCGTTTCCTCCTTCAGATGCCAAAAACATATTCCAGATAAGCTGGACCTTGGCAACTTAACCTGCTTCATTTTCTTGGAAGGTTAGGTTTATTTACCATACCATATCATAAATTATTATGTGACATGGAAGTGCTGGAAGGAGACTGAAGAAGAGTTCAGTTAAAAGTTAAAATTCTTCTATGGTGGTGAATAGATTTCATGGATTGTAATGGTGATGTTCCTCTAAAACAGAAGTGCCAGCCTTTCTGAGTTTTCATGGCAAGTTATATAATTTTATTCAAATACCTGTAGTGGCATATGCATAGCAAATAGTCTGAACAATTGGAGCTCTCAAAGAAATAAAAATCAGCAAACACCCTTTCCACAGTGATATTCCAGGACTGATGTATTCTGATAGCAAAAATGGAGAAGTCATTTCAGTCTGAGGTATGTTTTAACAGGTACTGTGAACTGTTGACTTGGAGTTATACAGCTCCTGATCAAGTGACCAGGTATGTAAAATATACAGTGGCAAAAATGGCAAAATAACGTGAAGAAAAATCAAAGAATTTTGCTTAGTTGCAATTATAACTAATAATAACTGTGATTCTCAATGTTAAGTATGGTAAATGTTGCATCTGGTAAAGGTCAGCTTCTCTGATTATTATACAAGCCTAGTGGTAAAACCAGTAACCTGTTGGGAAGTGGAGAGTTGCAAAGTAGTGGGGGTTCTCAGCTCCCAGTTAACATGCAGTACTGCTGCTGTGGCTTTTAAAGAAAAAAAAATCCTGTGGTGTTTTTAGAGCTGCTGCTTTGTGAATAATTATCCTCTGAGGGTGAACGGGATATTTTAAATTTAGAGCGTTTGTCTGAATTTTGTCGTCTGCTGTTGCTTGCAACAAACCGAGGCGTTAAGGTTGTGTGCTTCATCTTTATTTTTTGGTCGCCAGCATCATCTTCTCTAACTCCATTGCAGTTTCAGGCGCGTGACCGCCTGCTTCCCAGAACCGCTCGAGGGTGACGGTGTCGCCTCCCAAAACTGCTCGTACAACCCAAGAAAACGTGTTTTAACTTCAGCCGGCAACGGGCTGTGGCGTAACCGTGAAATAATCCTGTCAGAAAACGCCGCTACGCCGCCCTCAGTCCTGCCCGGACCCGTTTTTCTCACAGAACCCTTGGGGCGGTGCCGGGACCGCGCTCCCGGCGCCGCCCACGGCCTCGTAGTGTTTACAAACAGCCGGTGGAGCCGAGCCCTGCTCCGTTCATCCCGTAAAATCCCCGGCCGGTGGAGCAAAGCCCCCCGTGGTGCCCGGCTCCAAGCTGTCAGAGCCCGGGGCGCCGCCGCCATGAGGCGTTGGGGGCGCGGAGCAGGCTGGGTAGCAGGGCGGGAAGCCAGCTTTCCTCACAGGAGAGACCCCGCGCCTGAGGGGGAGGTTGCACGGGTAGATGCCGGTTGACAGGACTGTCCTGGCTCTCGAAGCCCTCGTTTCCTTTCCTCCGAGGTCAATAGGATGCTGTAGAGTAGGGAAATGGGATAGCGGGCAAGGTTAAACATCCAGTTTTGGTCTCCTGTGGTGTGGCCACTCCGCACCCCAAAACCAGACTCTGAAACTAGGGGAGAGAAGTTCATCTCGGGGCCATTTCGGATAGAAAAGACCCTTAAGAGCAGGCACTTTAAAAAGTGTTACGCTTTCCAGTCTTTTTCTGTTATTACTTAAGTCGTGAGATCTGAAAGACTCCTTGGAAGAAAAAGACAAAACTCTTCTGAGGTAAAACACTATCTTCTATTAGTTCTTAATGTGAGGTAAAACACTATCTTCTATTCTTAGTTTAAGACATGATCTTCTATTAGTTCTTAATTTGAGGTAAAACACTCTTTTCTATTAATTCTTAAGTCACTTCAAGAGTTGGCTGGGTGTTTAACATGGGAGCTTCACACCATCCCGATCGTTTGGTATTTTTAACATTTTGCAGTACTTACATGATGCTTTTTTAATACTTACCCTTGACAAAAAAAAAATGCGTTTGTGAGAAAACGAGCGAATCACAGCATGAATCCTAATAAGTTTTACACACATTGTTAAAGTTAAGCATGTAAGGAGTTCAAGTGTGGTTATCAGGATTACTTAAAAATGTGGTCTGCATAGCAGCAGTTTTGAGGCTGCGTTGGAAGGAGTTTTTACTGCTTACTAAGGTCTTCTCACCTAGTAAATAGAAAAAAATGTGTGCTTGGCAGGTGCTGAGGAAGGGGATATAAATACATGAAATCTTTATTCAATTGTGCAGGTTTTGATATTTGAGGTGCTTACCTTGTTAAACTGCACGTGAATGTTATTGAAGAGTGGTTTTGCAAATTTACTTTGTAGGTTTTTGTTTAACAAAAATCAAATCTCACTTGAAAGCTTGTGACACTTGCTGTAATAAAAAGATTATGGATAGCCCCTAATGGCTTTTAAAAGCTGTTTAATGCTGCTTGTGTCAAAGTAAGCAATTAAGGTCACTTAATCCATTTGATTATTCATCAAGTTGCTCTGGTAGCATCCCATGTGTTTGGATTGGTGAAAATATGCATCTTGAGAAGGCTGCTTTGTAGCCCTCCACACAGAGCACGTGTGTAATGTGAAAGCTGAGGAAAGAAAACCACTGTTTATATGACAGTTCGCTAGCCCCAAGCACAAGCAGACTGTAAATGGACACCCTTGGGTTGCCACAGCATGGGCTTCAGGAAAAAAAGATCACATCCAGTGTAGTCATTTAAAGGAAGCTTGCTAATTAAAATAGTATTAATAAATTAGACCTTAATGTTTATACATTCCCGTTAAACTCCAGTCAGATTGTTGTAAGGTTAGAGGATGAAATAAGGTTTGCTGAGTCTCAGTTTCTGTGGTGCAAACACGCTGCTGCATAATTCGATGTGAACTGGAGAGCATTTGGCCACTTGGTACAGAGGGCCAGGAGTGGTGAAGTGCAGAGACTGCTCTGAGACCTTCATTTGCTTCAGTGGCAATGGCAGCACCTCAGAAGATTAAATTTTGGTCAGTAGGTTGGAGCCCCAGTTCTGTCCTCAATAGTCAAGGTAACCATAGGGCAGTTAGGGGAGATTCAAGTCTTTTTTGCTAACCCTTAAAGGTGATGGGTAAAAAAAATGTGTGGAATAATATGTATCTGCTGTACAGCTCTAAGATAAGGACCAGGTTATGTTCACTCAGTGGACTTCTGGGGAGTGCGGTGTCTTAGAACAGCTCAGGAGAATTGTGTGTAGATTGAATGGTTCTTCTACTTCCAACTGCTCCGCTCCCCGCCTTATCCAACAGAAAACAGAACTACAAGCGGGCAGGTTGGAATGACCTTAAAACTGTGATTTTGTATGGTCACAAAGAAAATGACTAAATCTGCACCAGTTTAGAAAAACATTGGCAGAAAGATGTCAACAAGATCTTAAAATGAGTATTACTTTTGACAACAGAATTTGTTGTTTGCTCTACAGTGTTGGAAATAGGGAAGTAAACAGACTTTCTGCTAGACGCTTTCCATCGGGTAGCATACTGATCGTTGGACACTCAAAGTATTTTCAGTGTATATTATAAAACTCTACTTGGCATTCTGTGTTAGCAACTGTTCTCTACCCCGTTCTGTTATGAGAAGCACAGGAACTAATATCAGCTTGTGAGTTTAAGATCGGATGTTATTAATAAATTAACACAAATTAAACAAAGTTGTGATTCACGTAATGGAAAATGTTAAAAGTATCATTAATGCTTCGAAGCTTTGTGGACTGAGCAACCATAAGAGCGGTAGAAAGTGCTGCTGGCCTGATGGGAATCTGCCTGGCTGCTGTCCCAATCGGCCTGTTTCCTCTCTCTGTGGGTGTGGGAGCGTGTTAGGAGATGGAAATCCATCGGTAATGTTCAGCTGCCGTACCCCTCAGGATCCCTCACCAATTGTTAGCAAAGCAGGCACAACATTGCTGTAGTCAGACCACAGCCAAGAGATTTAAAAAAAAAAAAAACATTGAGAATCTGGGAGTCATAACTGGCTCTCTGATGCTGCATCTTTTCTGTGCCAAACATATGTTGGTATAGAAGAAACTCTGATTCTAAATAACAAAGTGTGGGCAAGATTTAACTGAAGTTTTCCGTAAAAGAAACCAGCTCTCTAAATGTTGCTATATTTTTCACTGTGTCTGATGTGATAATGCAATCAAATAAATGGACGTAACTGTTCTGGAACTGTACTGTAGTTGTTTATAGCACATGTTGACACAAGCCTAGGAGTAAAAAATAAGGTTTGCCAGACCTTGCAGGTAGTGTGCACCGTGTGCTGTTCTGGCTCATACACGTAGGATTTCTACGATTAAAGCCTCTGTTGGCTCAGACGTGCAAAACCAGAAGTTTGAATTTCAAATTTAGTACTGGGTGTTAGTGAGTTGATTGGTTTTGACCAGAACATAAGAATGTTCTTAAAGATTATTGCCGATACTTGCAGAGCATTTATGTACCACTGAGGAAAGTATTTATGTCTTCTGAATTAATAAATGAATTTCAGTACTGTCTGGGAAACAAACACAACTTAACTGCTTGGAAACCTTGTAAGGCTATTTGGGCTGTTGCGATGAGGAGTGTGCCGTGTATACATCTGTTTATAGGCATAGATAATTTCTAGCACCCACTTCACTGTTTATAGGCAAAAGTGCTTCTTAATTGTTTTCTTCTCAATCCTGACAGTGCCTGGTCTTTGTAACAGAGGAGCACTGCGGATGTGTTGACAGGGTTTTGGTCAGGTACGCTGTTCCCAATGCAGGTGCTACATTTGGGTGAGCACAACTAATGCCTTCCGTTTGAGAACCTGTAATATTCTGAAGCAGAAATGCTGATGTGGGTTCTTGATCGCTTTTTCGTGTTTTCTGACACTTCTCTCTTTGATGTACTCTGACCCTCAGTGAGGAATCAGTTACAGTGATTGGAGGTCTAATTCTGTTTTGTCACGTCAGATCGCTTGCTTACTTTCTCGTGCCCTAGTTCTTAGAGAAAACTAGGGCTGAGTCAGGTGTACGCGCAAATAGACTGTCTCGCCTGAAACTTTTAAATTCCAAGCACTGCACTTGTATGATGTGGATGTCATAGATGCGGAGTTGCCTCTAGCATCGCCCCCCTCTCAAATGGCTGTCAAATTCCTTTGGTGTGCAAAACCTTATTATTATTATTATTTTTTTCTGTGATCATTTGAGGCTGACGGCGGGAGTTCCAGCACACGGCTTCCCAGGTGCAGCGTGGCTGGGTGCCCCCCCGCCTGCCTTGCTGGGGTCGGGCTGCTTTCCCCCGCAGCAGCCAGCCCCCGGCATGTGCCGCCCGCCCGACCTCGAGCTGCGGGCGGGGCCAGCGGCCTCCCGCAGGTGCCCCCGGCCCGGGGAGGAGGGCAGGGGCCGCGGGGGGCAGCCGGCAGCCCGCGGCCCCGGCGGGCAGAGCGAGCGCGCCCCGCCCGGTCCCGCCTCGCCTCCCGGCCCCGTTCTGCCCCGGCGCGGGGGCGCTGCCCGTTGCCGGCTCCGCTCCGGGCTCGCGGCTCCGCTCCGCGTTTTGCCGCCCTCCCCCGCGCTCCCGGCCCCCGCCAGCCGAACGTGCAGCGCGGCTCCGTCCTCAGCGCCGCTCCTCATTGGTTGCTCCGCCATAGCCCCATGGGCGTGCGGGCCGCCCATTGGCCCGGCGCCGCCGTCAATCAGCGGGCGGCGGAGTGCGTCAGGGCGGGCGGGGGGGGAGGGGGAGGAGGAGGAGGAGGGGGGAGCGGCGGCCCCTTCCCTGCCTGTGGCTGGCGGCGGCTGCGGCTGCGGGGCCGGTGCGGGCGGAGGGGCGCAGCGCAGGGCGGCCTCGCTGCCTCGCGGCCTCCCGGCCTCGCTCCCTCCCTCGCTCGCTAAGATGGCGGCGGCGGCGGCAGCGGCGGCGGCCGTGGCGCGGCTGGAGGGCCGGGAGTTCGAGTACCTGATGAAGAAGCGCTCGGTGACCATCGGCCGCAACTCGTCGCAGGGCTCGGTGGACGTGAGCATGGGCCACTCCAGTTTCATCTCCCGCCGCCACCTGGAGATCTTCACCGCCGCACCCCCGCCGCCGCCACCGCCGCCGCCGCCGGCCGGCTCCGACGGGCCGCCGCCTCCTGCCCCTCAGGGCGACCCCGCGGCTGCTGCCGCTGCTACCGGCGGCGGCGGCGGGGGGGACTTCTACCTGCGCTGCCTCGGCAAGAACGGCGTCTTCGTGGACGGCGTCTTCCAGAGGCGGGGAGCGCCGCCGCTGCAGCTGCCCCGAGTGTGAGTACACCGGGGCCGGGCCTGCCGCCTGCCCCCGCCCGGCCGCGCTGCCCCGTGCTCGCCCCGGGTGTCGCGGCGGGGTGCTGCCCCCCCGGCTCGTCGCCGTTCGGCAGCCGCACGAGGGGTGACAGCCGGGGGACAGCGTCGCCGTGCCGGCTGCCTCCTAGGCCTCCTTCCCCGCCGCCCCTGCTCCCCTTGCGGCACCAGGGTAGCAGCCCCTCGGCCGCGTCCTCCCCGCCGTGTGCCCGCTCCGCCGCCCCCCGTGCTTGGCCCTCCAGGCCGCTGCAAAGCCGGGGAGCCTGAGGCTGGCGGCTGACAAACGGTGACCCTGCTCCAGCGCCCTGTCTTGCACGGAGCTGGTGTGAGTTTGGGAGCAAAGCTGTCTGCAGCAGTGCTCGGAGGTATTGTAATGAGCAAACAGAACTGGATACACCCTTGAGTATTGTTTACGTGCTTCAAAGGGAACCAGTCAAGTGGTTATCCGCATATCTGGGATTTTTGAATTGAGGATTGGTGCTGAGTAAACCTTGTGACACCCTCGGTGCTTTTACTGAATGTAGAGGGTTTATTTTTTTAGGGGGGGGGGGATTGCCTACAGATTTTTTGTGGTGGTTTTTGCTCTTTGTCGGATTGTACCAGTGATTTTTTTTTAATGACTAAACTGAATCATCCATGTGAAATACTTTCGCTAGTGCTAGTGTTTTAAGACCTGTTTCCGTATGTGACAGTAAATGCATCAGGAGGCTTTAAACGGTAATACATTCCTTTGCCATTAGCAAATATTAACTGTCCTTGCAAAATAATTTTCTAGAAGAGTACGTGAGGCCTACCTACCGTGGTTAAGGCTATGTTGAGCTGTAAATAAGTGATCTGTGTTCTGAGGAGTCTCGTGGGAAAAGTGAAAGTGTTTTGGCTCAGAATAATTTTAGGTAGCTTGACTAAGAAGTACCTAAAAGGTTATGAGGTTTAGCTTTACAAAGCACGTGCCATTGGTGACACATTCTTAACGTCTTATAAGTTTTTAAACTTTCTTTAGGGCTTTGATGGTTTATATTTTCCACTTTGACGTCTTTGGCGTTAGTTTCCCCATCTTGTTTCTCTGTAAAAAATCAAATTGTCTTACCTTTTTGCTTTCTAGGAAGTGCTCATTCTGAGAGGCTTTAACAGTGCCAGTATGTGTGGAGTTGTATAATCATGAATACAGTTGGATGACTTGTTTGACCTTTAACTGTAACTTCTATTTTTGCTTTCTGCTTTTTAATATTAATAATTGTTTGGCATGTGGTTAGTCTGTATTTTAATCTAAAGCATTTATGAAATACAGATCAAATACTTCCTTCTTTATAAACAGTTTGGTGCAATACACTAATTGTAAGTAAGTCATTGTGCATTACATATGTTGATTACAAACAGTCTAGAATTAGTTTGAGTAATTTAGTCAGTAGCATTCTGTTAAATGCTTAATTCCTCAGGAAAAAATTACTGCTGCTTCATGCTGTCCATGTAATTGTTGTCTTGTAATTTATTTTTTTCTGTCAGTGTTGTCTTTTTAAGGGAAGGAGAATACTGAAGGTTTTTTTTTTGTGTCGGTTTTTTAATGAACAATGATGAAAACTTCTCTACAGTTAATTTTTTTTCTTTTTCATGAGTGTATGTAGGTGGTGCTTACAGAAACTACACTTGCTTGAAACTTAGTGTGCTCAGTGATTACACCATTTGTTAGACTGCACACTTGTAGCTTTCCGTTTCAAGATCTGTAAGCTGGTTAAAGTAGTTATCTCCTTACAAAATATAGGTGTGATCTTCCAATAAGTCGTGTAAATAAAAGGTGGCATACCTTCAGTCCTGGCTAGAAACAATGGAGCAGTGTGTGCACCAAATGTACTCGGATTTCTTTAGTCAACAAGCATGGGGACGAGTTTTAGCTTGAAGGGCAGGCATGTTCAACAGGGTCATAGTTAAATCAGTGGTTAAGCTCAAATGCTGCTTTATTGTTTTTTTAAAAAATACAGAACTTCATCAGAGAAGAAAAGTCTTACTGGTGTTGTATAGGGAAATAGTAGTTTCATTATTTACAAAGTCTTTTTCTTTTTTTTTTTAGCATAGACGTCTTCAGACAAATTCAAAGCAGACGTTATCTGCTTATGGCAAGTCATTACTGTGAATTGCTGATGACTAATAACGTTGTAGCTGTGTTCTTGAATTTCATTGTAGATTTAACTGGTCACACTGAAGATGATCTCCTGGATTTTAAGAATCAAACTTAGTTACTGTGTAATGTACGCATTAACTGACACCTGAAACGTGACTGAAAGGAAAGCAGTTTTGGTGCAAGTTGAAGATTGATGATTGCTAACCTCCAGCTCAAGTAATCACTAGATCTATTTTTGGTGGTGGTGGTTAATCCTTCAGCGTTGCCAGTAATATGCTTTGCCTATGACTACGCAATCACTTGAATTTTATTTTCTTTAATGGCAGGTGAGGTTAAAACAAAAAAACACAGAGTGGCCTGTTCTTTCTATTGGTTTTGAAGCAATCTTGGAAACTAAGAATGAAGCATCCATCTCTGTCACAAATAAATAGTGACTTACAGATGACTCCAAGTGAAATATTGTTACAGACATGAACTGTCTTATTTAATTGTCCCTAATATTTACATGTGATTCATGTCTCCTTGGCCTTTTTTGATTTCAGCACAGTGTTTAAACATGATTGCATTAATAATGTTACTGAACTTCCTGTTTTTGGAAGGGAAAAGCAGAAATACAACTCTAGTCTCCTGCAAACCACACGTTTTAAACATCTGGGGAAATTAAGTTATTAGAGTCTGCTTATACGTGCTCTAATAAAGGCATCTTTCTTTCTACAAATAAAAGTGCCAGTAACACAGAATTACTGCGCATTAAGATAACTGTTTTGGTCACTATTTTTAATGTTTCCCTGGAAGCCTCACTCACAGTTCAAGCATTTCAGTTATCAAGCAGGAGGTAATATCAGTGGGAAGTGTGTTTTTGTTTTTCTGATTCTTGACAGACTCACATTCGTCCTTGTGTGTATACAAACCAGCTGTCATCTTGTTAGATGATTAAAATGGACGCTAGGGAAAAAATAGCCTTTTTTTTTGTTCGTGTCCAGTAAGTAGCTCTCCTGTCAAGGTCATAATGCACAGAGGCATGGGATTGAATAAGTGTTAGAACTGCATGTTAAATGCACACAAATCTGAGCAATTCAGTTAAGTCTCTTGCAGCTACCTTTAAGATCCATGGACTTTCACTGCTGCAGCTTATAAAGTCCATGTTTCTTAATTGTTTTCATTTGATGCTTGTCAAGTTTCCCCTGACTTCAGTAAAAGCATTTTAGGATATATCGCTAGATAAATAATAACATTGATGCTTGACTTTTGAGGTACTTGTTTTGAAAAATACCTTTTATGTTGGGCACTGCAGCTGTTGGTGACAGAGCTCTTGTATACAGCTTTTGGAGAGGCAGGATTGCAGACAGATGTAACTGTACAGCTGGAGAAAAACAGACTGACTTTTGGGTACAGCTTAGCTCTGAAAAAGGTTTGTTGTCTGTGTCGTTCCACCCCCCACCCCCTTTTTTTCCTTTCATGTTACAGTCAGTGGCTTGGATGTATTTTGCATGGTAGCATTTAAATTCACAAAGATCCTGACATTTTAGGCCTGACTGTTCAAAGACAGAGTGTGTTCATTTGGACAAAAACATATTTTGTAGATTAATGATTATTTTTGGCTTTGGTCTTGTGGAAGTAGATTTGGGAATCATAAGACAAGATACCACTAGCACTGGAGCAGTATCTAAGGCAGAGCAAAGATGCATCCAGTCTGTTACCTGTCTTGAAGAGTGGCCAGCCGTAGATGCCTAGGGAGGAGTATAAAAAATGGACAAAATTAGTTATGCTTCTCTTGTTTATTCTTTTGGATCCCAGTTAGGTTTGATTTCTTTCTGAGTTCAAAACCATTTAATGTTTACATTTTTTTAATGACTTGCTCTTCCCCCCCCCCGCCAAATCTCTAAACTTCTTACATCCACATCACTTTCGGCAGTGAGTTCCACAGCTTAATTTGGAGCCTGTGATGATCTTTTTTGCTGAGCTTTTTGAGCTTTACACCTGGCAATTTCATTTGATACCACTGAAGTTAGCTCTTTTATAATAAGAAACTGCAAATAATTGTCCTATTCTGTCATTCATTTTATAGACTTCTTTTATGTTTACTGAGTATAGGAGCTCTTATACTAAACCATGTCGAGTGCATCTCACTTTAGCTTAACACCTATTGACTAATCCTAAGGCAGGTCTATATGGCTGAAAACTAAAAATACATCTGTTTGTGTACTAGTGCTTTTCCCCTTCGTGTACAAAGGGCTGAATCAATATTTTTAGTTTGGTGTTGTGGTCTGGAACTACAAAGTGCTTTTTAAGTAGTAGAAGCTTTCCTGGTGATGGAAGCCAGTAGATTCTGAACAAGGATCGAGTATATTCACTAAGTAAACTCTTCAGGAAGATTTTTTGTGTTCAGCATTACACATGCAGTATACTGCAACAGATTGTAAAGAACCTCTAATATATTAGTGTGCTTTTTTAATTTTTGGCGGTTGCTTAAATTATATGCAGAGATGTGATTGCTATATGCATTGTGGTTTCACACATGCTCAATGAAAATTTTTCACTGGAAGCAGTTCAGGTTTGGCTTACCAGTTGAGAGGAAAGGATTGCACTATCTCCTTAGATAGTGCTAGCTGCTCTTTTAGGAAGAACGTTGTATGCTTTTTCTTTTTTTTTTTTTTTTTTTTG